TACGAGTCTCCTGTGCAGAGAAAATTAATGGTTCAGATGTTCTAGTTGAAAGGCTAACGACACCACTACCTGGAAACCTTGTAGTCGTAGACAGTTATGCTAAGGTCAAGAATAACTCAGCTTATGTTAGAGTAGTTAACTTCAATGAAGACGACGTATGGTTACGTCCGAGGACAAGAGTCGGTGTTGTTCATAGAGTTGAGGAAGTTCCCGAAGAGACAATCTCCTTAAATCAAGTAGACGTAGATCGTGTGGAAGTGACAAACAAAGCGCAAGATAAAAGTAAGACTCCTGGTTGTCCTGTCAACATTGATGATTTAGACTGTGATTTGATAGAAAAAGAAAAACTTAAAGCCCTACTGACTAAGCATTCTAAGGCGTTTGCAGAAGATGATGGTGACATTGGACAGACAGACAGTACGCGTAAGACACAGAATCTACACTACCGATGATGTTCCAGTAAACCTCCCATTCAGAAGAATACCACCAAATCAGCTGAACGAAGTGAAAGAACATATTCAAGATCTACTCAACAGAGAGGTAATTCGAGAGAGTCATAGCCCTTACGCGTCACCTATTGTGCTAGTAAGAAAGAAGAGTGGAGAGCTTAGACTATGTGTAGATTACCGCCAACTCAATGCCAAGACAGTAAGAGATGCTTACCCTTTACCCCGTATTGAAGAGTCACTGGATGCACTGCAAGGAGCAAGATATTTCTCAATTATGGATCTGGCTARTGGTTTCAATCAAATTGCTATGGCTGAGAGTGACAAACAGAAAACCGCCTTCACYACGCCATTTGGTCTATTTGAATACAACCGAATGCCCTTTGGCTTAACGAACGCCCCAGCTACATTCCAACGGATGATGCAGACTTGTATGAGTGACTTTATGTTTAACATACTACTAGTCTACCTTGATGATGTAATCGTTTATTCCAAGACGTTTGAAGAACATCTTGATAGATTAGAAGCAGTCCTACAAAGAATTGAAAAATATGGATTAAAGTTGAAGCCATCAAAATGTCAATTCTTAAAGACCAAAGTAACTTATCTTGGACATGAAGTTTCTGCCGAAGGAATCGCACCTGATCCCGCAAAGATTGCTGCTGTCGCGAACTGGGAAGTTCCAAGGACATTGAAAGAACTGAGATCATTTCTCGGATTTGCATCTTATTACAGGAAATTCATTGACAAGTTTGCGCAAATCTCAGGACCTTTACACGAACTTGTTAACAGCTGTTTACATGATATGAAACCATCAAAGAAGCAAACGAATGTTCAATTGGAAACAATATGGACTTCACGTCATCAAGAAGCGTTTGACACGCTGAAAGTAAAGCTGATAACACCACCGTTGCTTGGATATCCTGACTATAGCAAACCATTTATACTGGAGACCGATGCCAGCCTCGCAGGCCTTGGAGCAGTCCTCTATCAGGAACAAGAAGGAGGTAAAGTCGTAATCAGTTATGCAAGCAGACGTCTAAGACCAACGGAAAAGAATGAGAGAAACTACAGCTCAATGAGATTGGAGATGTTGGCACTTAAATGGGCTGTGACGGAGAAATTCAAAAACTATCTACTCGGATCGACGTTTACTGTCCTAACGGACAACAATCCTTTAAGCCATCTAAGAAMAGCAAAGTTGGGGGCAGTGGAGCAGCGATGGGCGTCACAGTTGGCTCTCTATAACTTTCAAATAAAGTATAGAACTGGAAAATCAAATCAAGCAGCCGACGCGCTATCACGATGCAAAGGACCTGACCSAAGTAAGGAAGACTTAGAAGATGATGTCATGGATGCCAATGAAATTCCAGTAGATGGATCTAAACTGCCTCCAGAGCTACAAAGTACCATGAAYGTGGATGTCAAATCAGTGTCAGTCGAAGAAAAAAGAGCACCTGCAACACTCCCGTTTCCCTCATACTCAAAAGACGAGATAAAAGTTTTACAAGAATCAGACCAAACGATAAAGATAGCACTATCATACCTCAAAGAAGGGCGAAAGCCAACTGTGATGAAATACCTTACATTACATTAGAGCAATTAAGTATAGAAGTTTCACATTCTTGCGTTTGTTTATTTAAGTTATGTAAATCAGGATATATAAACTTTGTAAGAAAGGGTGTTGTGGGCAGTCGAGTAGAGTCGAGCAGAGAGTCGAAAAAGAGAGAAATTGAAGTAGAAGAAATGGTAGCAATAAGGGAGGAAAGGGATGCCCGTAGAGAGGAGTGGGAGGCCAGAAGAGAGGAAAGAGAAGCAAGGAGAGAAGAGGAAGAGAGAAGGCTGAAAGTTATGACAAKTGAATTGGAGTTGAAAAAATTAGAACAAGAGAAAGTGATAAGAAAGTTACAAACTGTTCAGATGAGAGACATGAGAGAGGGAGAAGATGTTGATGACTTTTTCAGGGTTTTTGAGTTGACTGCCAAATCCTTACTTGTGCCGAAAGTTCATTGGTTGGGTAGCTTAATTCCGAAGCTGAGTGAAAGGGCCAAGTCGGTGTACCTTGAAATGAAAGATCCCGATGCACAAGACTATGATAAAACCAAACTGGCTATACTCGAGTCTTATCAGTTGACGGTAGACCACTACAGGTATCGGTTCCGCCATTCCGAGAAACTACCCGAAGAAGATTTTGTTCAATGGATGAGGAGAASTARGCGTTATCTAGATAGGTGGATGACRGTAGCGAAAGCAACTGATTCAGCTGACAAGATCCTAGAACAATTTACTATGGAAAGAATGTTGGAAGCYGTTGGTCCCGAACTKCGTACTTGGTTAAAAGAGAAAAAGKTTGAAACGGCAGAAGAAYTAGCCAAAATAGCGAATGAGCATGTCCAAGCCAGGAAAGGTCCTATAATAGATGGCAGGTACATTACTACTGAAAAACCTAGACCCAGGAAACCACCCGAGAAACCGATAGAGAAGCYACCGGGAAAAGAATTACCAAAAGAGGAAAAGAGGACGAACTCTGACTTCCGTGGTAAGTGCTTTAAATGTAAGCAACCCGGGCATATCTCAATCCATTGTCCAAACAACAAACCTCTAACACAGCAGAAGTTCCCTGGCAGTGGCTATTTATGTTTGACACCCCTAGATGAAGAAGAACGATCTTCAGAGTACTTTGTTTATGGTTCTATTGCCGAAATACCCGCAAAGATGTTGGTAGATACAGGTTGCAGTCGCACTTTGATACATCGCAAGTTTGTATCCAAGAHGAAAGACCTTGATGAAAACATAACCATTCTTACAGCTTCTGGTGAGAGAGTTGTAGTACCACTTGCTTGGGTGGACATACAAGTAGAGAAGGGTAAGTATAGGGAATTAGTTGGAGTTGTGAATAATTTACCTGTTGATTGTTTGTTAGGTAGGTCTTCATTTGGACGAGTCTTTTCAAGAGATGACTTGCTTAAGTATTGGGAAGTAGACGTTGACGATATCGCACTGGTGACCACCCRTAGTCAAGACAGACTAAGAGTCTTGGAGAGGAGGGAAAAATTAATGGACCGCGAAAACGAATTGGCAGCGAGAACGCTATCAACTGGTGAGGACCAAGAACCGAGAGTTGAGAATGGTAACGGGGAAGATTGTGCAAAAGAAGGATCGAGTATGGGTTCAAAGGAAATCGAGGTACAAGTATCGCAAGTAAATATTTTAGATAGAACCATTATTCAGGTCATTCAAGATCAGAAAAATGACGTCACGCTAAAGCATTGTTTCGATATAGCCACTAAAGACGCACCAAAAGAAAAAGATGGATATTTCTTCCAAAATGAGTTACTGTTACATCGCAAAGTTAATAACAGTGATACTAATGAGTCATCTTGTGTAGATAGAATTGTCGTTCCAGAATCCTATCGACCAGAAATCCTACGAATAGCACATACCATTSCATTGGCTGGACATTTGGGTAAGGAAAAGACAATCGCTAGGATAACCAGACACTTCTACTGGCCAAAACTCTCGTTTGACGTGAATAAATTCTGTGCTACATGTCCTGAATGTCAATTAGTTACCAGAAAAATGACTGCGTTGAGAGCTCCATTACGGCCAGTGCCCATAGAAATTGAACCTTTTAGAAAGATTGCCATTGATATAGTAGGAGAGCTACCAAGGTCGAAAACGGGATGTAAGTATATATTGACGATAATAGATTACGCAACACGTTATCCAGAAGCTTTTGCTTTACGAAACACGAATTCTAAGACGATAGCAGATGCACTTATCATGTTATTTACCAGAGTAGGTATACCAGAGGAGATAGTCTCAGACCAAGGTGCTAACCTTATTGGTAAGTTAATGGCGCAGTTATACGAGCAGTTGGGTATAACTCACATTAAGACGTCGGTTTACCATCCAGAGGCCAACGGACTTGTCGAACGGTTCAATGGTACTCTAAAACACATGCTACGTAAATTTGTATCGGACAACGTGAATCAATGGGATAAGTATATACCCTATTTGTTATTTGCATATAGAGAAGTACCTTGTTCTTCAACTGGGCTATCACCGTTCGAACTTCTCTATGGTCGTTCTGTAAGAGGTCCTCTGGCCATTGTTAAGGAAACATGGATGGAGAAGGAACCACAAGAGAGTGAATTAGTATCTCATGTTTTACAAATGCGCAAGCGCCTACTTACAATGCAAAATRTTGTATCTCAGAKTATGAAGAAAAGMCAAGCTCGACACAAGAAGAACTACGACAGGAAAAGCTCAGACCGTAGGTTTGAAGTTGGAGACCGAGTCCTTGTTCTGTTACCTACACCAGGTAGTAAGTTGGAAACGAAGTGGCAAGGACCTTACCAAGTTACTGGTGTGAAAAAGGAAGGAAGAGCGTATGAGGTTGACACGGGTAAGAGTAAGAAACAACTTAGAACTTACAACATCAACTTGCTGCGACGCTGGCAAAGTAGAGAAGAATCTGTAGCTGCTTATGTCACAGAGAATCCATCAGAGKCGGCTTTACCACACGAGATGAATTTACCGCGCATATCAAATGACGAGACTTGGAGAGATGTAAGTATTTCCCATGAAATTGACGGCGATCAGCGCAAGGAAGTTGATAGTATCCTAGAGGAATTCTCGGATGTGTTCTCCGGGAAACCCAATCAAACCACTGCTGCTGTACACCGTATCGATACTGGAGACGCTGAACCGATCCGTTCTTGTTCATACGACGTTCCACAGAAACTCGAGAGAGCAGTCCTAGAGGAGATAGACCAGATGCTCGAAATGGACATAATTGAACCCTCTAATAGTCCTTGGGCGTCACCTGTCGTGATAGTCCCAAAACCAGATGGTAGTATACGGTTGTGTGTCGACTACAGAAAACTCAACCGGKTGACCARGATGGATGCGTTTCCTATTCCTAGAATGGACAGAATGCTAGACAGAGTTGGTACAGCCACCTTTATAACAACACTTGACCTTACTAAGGGTTACTGGCAAATTCCATTACATCCAGATACCGTGGAGAAATCTGCATTCATATTCAAGAAAAATC